GGCGCCACGTAGCGAAAAGAAGAAACGACTGGCGCGCTGTTGTTAACTCGGCTATAATCGCGTAAGCGGTGTCTACGCCAATTAAGAAGAAGAAGAAGAAGCTGTTCTCTACGTCAAMTGAAGCAATAATTGGAGAGCATTCTTATTTTCAACATCCAATCCAGATAATAGTTTTTCATCCCAATGGATTGTTACTTCGTCAGACAAATTATTCTTGGAAGTCAGTTTTTATTGCTTCTGGCCAAGGTTTTCTCACCTGAGACGAATTCGCTGAATCGAGAATTTGTTAATCAGAAAATTATCGCTGTTCAGACCAAGCACTTATACGAGTACAACCGCATAGAGAATGTAAACTGAATCCCTTATGCTTAATTGGCATCGATCTAAAGAAATMTGGGTACTAAGTTCAGAGTTCGAAATCTGTTCCTCATCCGAATTCTCAAGACATTCCAAGCTACCTGTCAAAGAAGTATATGCAACAGCCGATTTTTTTGTCAATTCCACCTACGCATCCCGGTCGACGTGGTTCTCTCTGTTTCTACTTTGTCTTCCTCTATTTTCATACGAAAGTTTTTTAGAAGCTATTCCAAAAAATAGATCGGTCAGTCAATATGAATGGTGTTTTCGATATTATTCCCGGTTTTTAGAAAATTTAACTTAAAAAGCTGGTTAGTATTTCGCTTTGAATTCGGAGATCAACTTCCCGGGTGTGACCGTTTGAGCCATAATAGAGTTTTTCTATGCGGCTAAGTCACCACTCGCAGAGAACGTATAATATAGAGAAGGTTCAATTGCGAACAGACGTGTGAACTGTCAAGAGCTAACAAAATCTTGTTAGTGGATTTCACCACTTATGACTGAGAAGGAGAATTTTGTATAGAAATGAATGAACCGATCTGAGCATTGAATGAAAATTATGCTCAGAAATATACATTGACATTACAGATGTATGTTACTCGTTTGCTTATATATTTATATGTTTACATGCCATCACATTAATTGGTATGAATACCGTTTTGCGAATTTTTGCGAATTCATACAAAATTCATAACATAATTATTGAATTACGCTATTTTCATTGTAATATTTGTAGTTAATGTCCAACTAAAAGCTACTTTTTAAATATTTCTTATCATTGACAATATTATATAATTTTGTATGCATGTATATATACTATATATGATACATTATCGTAATATCCTAAAAACATAATATATTACAATAATAATATATGTAAATCACACCTCTTATCATTTAAAACTTTTATACGCATCTATCCGGCAGATATTTATGCAAGTACAAATCAATTTCAAATCAAGATATTATCATTTCTCAGTAATATAAAAAGCGCGCGCTTCTCTGTATTTACGTATGTGTCCCACATACATGTGCCACGAGTAACCTCGACCGCACGGTCAACCAGGTCTAGCACGAATAAACAGCAACCGTACCAAGTACGAAAATTAACAACCCTGACTTGACCAAGATAGCCAACCCACGGACGCTAACAAGACACAGTTGAAATTTGAACTTGGCAGAGTGCGGTTGTGCCTTTCGTTTTAATGTCTACAATA